TTTTACAAACCAACCACAGATCCCCCTCTCATCCCCCCTGACTCACCCCCCCCATACCCTCCTCCAAAAGGGTAAGTCCTTCTCTGAGGGGACAGCAAAGCCTGGTACATTCAGCTGAGGCAGGAACAAGCCCCTCCCCCCCACATCCCGCGTGAGCCAGGAGCAGTAAGTAGCGTGTTCTACGTCAGCATCAGAGAGAAAGGCCGGCGAGCATGGAGTCCAGAATCAAACGTGCATTGACTTGTCTGTATGAGCGTTTAGAAATGGCCGTCTAAGAAACGCTGTTTTCAAAGGCAGTTGGAGAAAAGCTTTTAGTAGGGGAGAAGAAACATATGCCTACACACAGAAAGACCCTCCACAGAGCAGAGGGGGGACTTGGCAAGCCAGAGCTTGGTCCTCTCTCCGAAGGGGAGTTTTTATTTTATTATTCTAAAAACTAGATCCCTGAGAACACTTTAGCAAAATCCTTTCAAAATGGGACAAGATGTTACAAGAATAAATTTTCAGACTAGGTATAACTTGTTTTTTGTTTTTTTTTTAATTCAAGGGTTGTTTTCCTTCTGAATAAGTTATACCTTTTGCAAGTTACAAGGACTTTCAACTTAAATTTACTGACCTCTGACCCTTCCCAAGTTAGTAGTTAGTACTTTGAAATATTGCCACAGTGCAGGTGTGTGTGTGTGTGTGTGTGTGTGTGTGTGTGTGTGTGTGTATGTATAAGTGTGCACAGTAAGTAATCTCTTTGAAAAGAATTAAAAGATAATCTCTTTTCAAAGATATTTGCAGGGCCACCTCTAAAATTACCCTGTTCCACATAATGTATTTTACACTTGGTTTCTTAATGTGGAGGAACATTTGGGTCGTGTTTCTTTTAGGTAGAACTGAAATCTAATGTAGTTCATATATATTGTTTTTCTCTGTTGTGTAATTTGTGATGTCACGTCAGGTGCTATGGGCCACTTAGTTTTACTGAGAGCTACGCTAAGTTCTCACTGACAAAGACTGGTAGCTGTGTCTGCTCAGGCTCCCAGCTGATTGGTTGTCAGCCAGGCTGCTGCTGCAAGTCCAGCCTGATAACCTGCTTCCCTCCTGGAGCGGCATGGTGACAGGCGGCTCATCACTTATGTAGTAGTCAGTGAATGGCTGCTTGGTGACAGGAATAAGCCACAGTATACCCTCAAGAACTGTGTAGCCTCGTCCTGCCAGAAGGGCTGCAGGTAGAAAGGATGGTGTGAGATGGACCTCTCACACAGCTGTGAAGGTTTCCTGCTGAAAGGCCATCTTATTTCTTTATACTTCTTACGTCTCATACTAAATGCAGCCAAGCCTACAGCCAGACCTGCCAATCAAACACATTCCATTTGGAGGCTATTACCCTGCAAACCACTAGCAATGGTTTTTAAGATTTGAATAATCTGGATTAGATTCTTTTCAGCTAGGAAGGTGAAGTTCTGTTAGCAGGCGGAGTGCTGACCTGCAGCTGCTGCCTCCTTTTAGATTTGCTCTCAGCTAGGGCATGTATGGAAAACATCCGCGTCCGTTTCCAGAAGCATGCTCAGTGTTCCGGTCCTAAGCCCGTGCTGGAACATAAGTCCACAGAGCAGGGACTTGGTGCTTTTCATTACGGTGGTCCAGCATCCAGAACAGGCCTGACACACATTAGGTTCTCAGATATTTTCTATCTTAATGAAGAGATAACTTGTAAAAAAAAAAAAAAAGTGGGGGGGCAGGGAGCAAATGCTTTTAATTATAAAACAAAACTGAAATTTGTTGTTTTGCAGAAAATGTGCTCTCACTGGCCAGAGTAAGTCCTGTAAGCACAGAATTAAACTAGGGGACTCAAGCAACTATTACTATATTTCTCCTTTTTGCAGATACAGGGTAAGTGACAACACGACCATGCTGTTAAACAATGTTTTCTCTGCCGTAAAACTGACTAGTACTGACGCGTCTCCCTTCGTCCTAGATCACTTCTGTGTGTAACTTTTTCACGTACATTCGATACATTCAGCAGGGACTCGTGAAACAGCAGGATGGTGAGTGCTCTCAGTTCGTTGTGAACTTTACACTGAAGTTTAGCCGATCAGGACAAGCAGTGTGCAGAGATAAACTGTTGTACCTGGGGCCCAGTGAATTTCCCGTACAGTTCTCACAAAATGTATGGATCCTTTAGAATAGAAATGTGTCTTCCAAAAATGACGCTTTTATTTCCCTCTTGAGTTTTGAGCAGAACCAGTTTTACCTTGCTAGGGATATATGATAAGTCAACCTATAAACGTAAAGGGTGTCTGGAGCTTATTGCCTTTATCCCTTGAAAGATTAAACGGCGGCTACGTGGGAGGTTGAGACAGGAGGATAACAGATTGAAGGCCATCGAGAACTGTAGGATGAGTTCAAGGCCGGCTTAAGCAAGTTAATGGGCATCCTGCCTAAAAAAAAAAAAAAATCAAAGAAGTTTAAGAAAAAATGTTGGGATGGTGTAGCTCAGTGGTAGAGTGTTCCCTTAGCACGAGTGAAGTCCCAGGTTTGGTTGCCAGAACTGGGAGGGTGTGTGTGTGAGAATGAGGAGCAAACTCCACAGGTGGTTAGATTTCTTCTCCTGGATGGAAAGCGGAAGGGGCCAACTGTCAGTTTCCTGTGGTTTCGACTTTCACGTGTGACTTTAGAAGGCACTGAGGTGATGATTCTGAACAGAGAGAAGATCACCGCATTCTGAAGCTGCGGAAACGGATGTGCTGACTGTCATGGTCGTGTTAAGATTTCAGTGTCGCCTCCCAGGGTTGCTAACGGACTGTAACCCAGAGTCTCGACTACCCAGCGTGAAGGCTGGTGGCCTCAGGACAGCTACAGAGCACGCTTACTGAGTGCACATGGCTGTTTCAGAGCTGAGGGGAGAGCCGTCTTTTTGTATTTGACACTGGGAAATTCTCCATGTAGATTTTTATAGGTGTTGAAAATATTTCTGTACTGCAAGACTAATTCTTTTCAGTCACATACACGAGTGCAAAAAATTATGGAAAAATTTGACTGGCAAAGACTCAATTAAGTTCTTATGGCTCTGATATATGGAACTGCCATATTTATTTAGAATTGCATATAATTAATTTTAATGTATAAAGGAGGTATGGGACCAGTCTCTAATGTTGGAGCTAAAGGTTATGAAACAAAAGTAGTTTGTTAAGTGTGTAATGATTTTTATAATTTTAATAACATCTTTTGAATACCTGTTGATGGATAATATGATGCAAATTTTCTCCTTGTGACAAAGATTTGAGTGAAGTCTGAAAACAATTTGCTTCATGAAAATAAGAAGAAAATGCCTTGATTGGAGTGACAGATGTGATATTCCCACTGGTTTCTGTTATTTTTGCACTTCATGTATCTAGTATACAGCATATACCATGTGGGGCCCTTATATTTTAATTTTAAAACCTATTCATTATCTGAGCCTTGTATTAAAAAAAAAAAAGACTAGGGTCAGTTAAATCCAAGGCACAGTTTCTCAGCCTTTGTACTATAGCCTGGCCAACTTAACCCCCCAAACACAAAGACCATGCCTGACCTTATAGTCAGAATGCGTGTACAATAAAAATCTCACTTTTAGACTTTGTATAGAAGAGCCACAGGAAACTGTCTTTTTTTTTGAGACAGGGTCTCACTTTGTAGCTCTGTGTGTTCTGGAACTTGTTCTGTACAACAGACTGGCCTCAAACTCACAGAGAGCCTCCTGTCTCTACCTCTGGAGCCACCACACAGGCTCCACACTGAAGCCTTTTAATTTTGGGTTGGAAGTTGGGCCCTTTCCCCAAAGTTATCTCATTGTGTCTTGTCCTTGACGCCTGAGTAGTAATTACACGTTATGATTTACATGTCTCTTCTCTGTCTGCAGTTGACCAGATGTTTTGGGAAGTTATGCAGTTGAGGAAGGAGATGTCGTTGGCAAAGCTGGGATATTTCAAAGAGGAACTCTGACGCCCTGCATGGGGCCATGTGTGCTCCTCCCTGGACAACTGAAGAATGGCGGGACATTGTTATGGTTAATATTTATTTCCGAGGAGAGGACCCAAGACTGACGTCCTCTTGCACATCACACTAAGAAGCGCTGTGATTTCTTTGAGAGCGACTGAGCTGTACTTACTTATCCCTTAATGGAACACACTATGAAGAGTTGCAGGTGTGCTAGTGATGGTAACTCAACACTGCAAATCAAAAGCACCAAATAAATATCAGACTGAGTGTGTGTCTCTTCCTTAGCTCTGACTTGACAAGAGAGTTGCAGATGGCAGTAGGAGTTTCCACATTGTACCCTGTGGGAAGCAAGGAAGGCGCTGTGTGAACAGGACTCCGTGTGTGTCTGTGTGTCTGTTGACATTGAAACACAGGTTTTAATTTGTTTTGTTTTCCACCGTGAGGTTTTTCTTTTATTAATTAAATGTTTTTTCTGGCCCGATAACGTTTTCCCCACCCTCTCTCCCCTCCTCCCCCACTCCACCCCCCTCTCCACTCCTCCTTTGCAGAAAGGTTTTTACTGAGGTTTGGAAGCTTGCCGTAACCCAGTGAATTCCTTTATTGTAGTGATTTGTCAAGTAGAAAATGAAGAGCCAAGAGAGCTTAACCCTAGAGGAGCATTCTCAAGCAACCTGATGTAAGGGTTCACGTTACGCATTGAGCACTATCATGGAATCAAAGGCTATTAAATAAACAAACAGTGTCATGGTCTAAAAGAACGGTATCTGCCAGTTCTGAGGTATCGGGCAACCACTTGATCTCTAAGTTTTAACTAAAGCCGACAGGAAGAAACTACTAACGTAATTCCCGCCAGTAAAAGAGGTTCATGATGGAGACAAAGTGTAGGAAAGGAGACCTCCTCTTCATCGTCTCCAGTGAGAACACTACTGCTCACAGCTTTGGAGAAAAGCCTTGGACTCTGAGATGTTTCCTACTCCTACACTCAGCTCTGAAACAAAAAGACTTGCTTTATTGATTGTGTGTGTGTGTGTGTGTGTGTGTGTGTGAATGTTTACATGCGTGTATGTGCATCACACTCGTGCCTGGTGCACACAGAGGCCAGAAGAGGGAGTCAGGCCTGGAACTGGAGTTGCCGACAGTCGTGAGCTGCCAGGTGGGCACTGGGAACTGAACTTAGGTTCTCTGCAAGAGCCTCGAGCCGTCTCTCCAGCCCTTCCTTCTTGCTTTATAAGTAAATAAGATTGCCCTGTGATTAAACCACTACACCCTAAAAAGAAGGTTTTTACGGTTTCTGTATTGTGTGGGGGCGTGCCTGTGCATTGGAGGTACCTGACAGCTTTTGGGAATCTGTTCTCTCCTCCCCCTGTGTGGTTTCCAGTGATCAACAAACTCAGGACCTCAAGCTTGGTGACAGCCCCTGTACCTGGCGGGCCTTTTCTCTGGTGCAGATCTCCACACCCTGATCACTGTATGTTGATTGTAATTAAACAATTTGTTTCTAGAGATTGGGTTGTTTTCAGTTCTTTACATATCATGATGTATTGGTGAGGCACCTTATGCATGCATACTTCTGTGAACATTGTGGGGCTTTCTGCATGTTCATGCTTAGTGTTTAAGGATGGCCGCTGCCATGCCCGGATTGCCCACTAGAAATCTGATCACCCACAGAATCAAATTGAATGTGCTCATTCAAGGCTTCAGAAGCTTTTCCACAAAATCAGTTTTGGAGACAGTATATAAATAAGAAAAACAAGTTCAGGAGATGCTGAAATTGAAAGACAAAAAAGTGGGCCTTCATGTGTAGCTCACTGGTAGAGTACCTGCCTACCATGCACAGAGCCCTGGCTTCCATCTCTAGCACCGCAAACCAAATCCCAATGAACCAGATATTTGGGCAAAGCTCGATAGCGTAAGCGTAAATGAGAAAACTATAGGAAGACAGGGAACGGCAGGTCTCTGACTATCCAGAACGAACACTTTCCAGCATTGGCAATGGCAGTGTTCACAGACCAGGAATAGAAGTTTCATTAGATTTCTTACCTGCTAGAGGTGGCAGTGTTAACAGGGCAACAGGAATAAAAATGACCAAGTAGAGAAGCACATGACACGGAAATAAAAATAAGACGCTAGAAGACGATAAACTCAGCAGTTTATTCTGTGAAAAGAGTCCAATTGGATTCAAATGTATGATACATATTCAAAAAGCATAGGCAGAGGCTGAAGTAGAAGGATGGGGGAAATGAAGAAAATGGTAGTGTTTATACAAAGTATAAGCGTTTATGCCAAATGCATTTATATGAAATTACATGTGTGTATACGATTAGTAGCCCAAATAGATACTAAGATAAAAAGTACTGACTCCTTGTAACTCTGCTCCTGTACCGTCTCCACTCCAGCATCCCTGGGTGTGGGAATGACCCACGGGTGGCAGGCAGGACCATGGTGACGGATGACAGTGATGAACAGCTCAACAAGGCTCTGGCATCATCTTTCCCGACTCCTGCCCAGGCAGATGGCTTACCTTGTACAGCTCTGGTCCTCTCCCTGGCCAGACGGCTGCGCTGTGAGGGAGGCTCTTAAAGGATGCACCGAGAGGACTGAGTCTCACTACCTGATACTGAATGTACAGTGATCCGACCTTCCAGACAGCTAGTCCTCCAAACTATAACCGGACTTTGCTCCTACAGCATTCTCTGGTACTTCATTGGACAAGGTCCTAAGACGCTGGAGAGCTTGACAGGCACCTGTACTTCCCAGACAAGGAGGGATGCATAGGCTTTGTTCACCAGCCTGGGAGGCATCCCTGCAGCTGGAAGCGGCAGCTTTGTTCACTCTTCATATGTATTAGCAGGAAAGCCACACCCTGCTTCACCAGAACTGCCATCTCAGGGATGAGCAAACTGTTGACATACAGTGAAATGCCCAGGAGGAAGCTCCTCCTTGTGGAATGTTCTCCAGGAAATCTAGAAGATGCCGACATCGTAGACACGTAAAACTTGCTTATCTTGGAGGACAGTCTTGATGGGATGATGGTCTTTGGTAGCAGCTGGGTAAGGAAAGTGAAAACGACCAAGTAAGTGAAAGCTGGTACAGTTGAGGCTCTCTAAAATTGGAAGGTCAGCTTTGGCACTCTGAGAAACTGAAAAGAAATGGGTGAAAGAGGAGAACCACGGAGGAAAAGCACATGGGAAATAGCTGTGTGAAACAATCCTGATGCAGCCAGTATCCAGTTCTTGGGGGAGGCTGAACATGATGTGGAGGACGGTGAACGGGCGCAGGAGGAGGGTGAGGACCATACGGGTTACAATTCTGTTGACCCGGGGAGTGACCTGCAGACAGACAAACTATCCCCATCTCCAGAGAGGCGTGGCCTCCTGGCCACCGTGGCTGTCCCGAGAGGGTTTGATTTAACACTTCAGGAGAAATACTTAGGAGAAGATTCTGATCACATTCGTCATTGAATTTAATCTCACCTTTAAGTTAAAAGCGAGCATTGGAGATAGAAGTGACCACTACATGATACTGTAAAGACAAAAGGGGGAGAGAGGATGAAGGACAGCCGGATGTCATGACCGTGCCTAGAATCCTCCCTCCTCCCCCGTTAGGAGGCAGGAGGATAAAGAGTTTAAAGTCATCCTTAGCTACATAGCAAGTTCAAAGCCAGCATGGACTTATTGAGACCCTATTCTTTTTTTAAATGGAAATGTTAGAAAATGTTTAATTTCTAAGTCTTGAATAATAGCATAAGATACAAAGAGTTAGGCTTGAGAAGAAATCATATACCAATCCTTTTAGAGCAGTGGTTCTCTGCCTGTGGGTCGTGACCCCCATAGTGGGTGGAATGACCCTTTCACGGGGGTTGCCCAAGACCATTGGAAAGCACAGATGTTTACATTATTCATAACAGTAGCAAAATTACAGGAAGTAGCAATGAAAATAATTTTATGCTTGGGGGTGGTGGTGGTATCACCACAACATGAACTGTATTACAGGGTCACAGAGTTAGGAAGGGTGAGGCCACTGATGGAGAACGAGCAAAGTGACGGAATAAAATTATAGAAAATAAGACCAGTGGAGTAATGAAGGGAATCTGTAACACCCTAGCAAGAACACATGGACAACCAAGCAAAAGTTGACTGAAAAAAATTGAGGAAAATTTTAGGCAAGTTATCATGGAGAAAACCACACAGATAACCAATTTTGGGAATGGAAACAGTTGCCATTATAGATTCGGAAGACGCCAGATGCAGTGGACATCATCAGACATGCCAGTTCCCATGGAAATTCAAGCAAGGTGGAAAAGTTCCAGGAAAAAGTTGACAAGAAATAACTTTACTATTCTTATTAAGGAGATAGTTAAGATTTTCCTCACAAAGTTTTAGGCACAAATAATTTTACCAAGACCAATGGGTTATTCTGATATGCAAATTTACCAAGATAGTAAGATGCCAGGCACAGCTAAACTAATATCACATTGATACTAGTACCACATAGAATCAATGTGAGGAATGAAAAGTATGGGTTTATATAGTCACGAACCTAACACACTGACCAGATGAAATATTACCTCAAGAATGCAGCTAAGTGGCATATTAGGCAATTGACCTCCTATGCTGTAGAATGAAAAAGTAAAAAGCCAATTGATCAATAGATGCAAAAAAAAAAAACCCTGATAAAATCGATAACCTGCTAAATATAACAGTCATATTCAAGTGGGAGAGTAATTTCAATATGATAAGGATGCCTGAAAATGCTGTAATCACTATTCTTGGGAGAAGAACACGAGAAATAGCTTTAAAATAATCAACAAGACAAAGGCCTGGAGAGAAAAAGACCCACAAAATGGAGGAAATCTCACAAGGCCCCGCGCCTCGACGAACTACCGACAATGACTTCTGGGAGTGGGAGAGTCGATCTTCCCTAGGGATGAGCCCCCTAACTGGTTATCCAGTATGAAGTAGTCAGGCCCCAAACCTAAGAGCAACGTTAAACGGACCCAGCAGGTTGTATTTATATATCTATATGTGTGTGTATTTAACAATAAAAAGAATCCATGATGCCGGGCAGTGGTGGCACACGCCTTTAATCCCAGCACTAGGGAGGCAGAGGCAGGCGGATCTTAGTTCGAGGCCAGCCTGGTCTCCAAATCGAGTTCCAGGAAAGGCGCAAAGCTGCACAGAGAAACTCTGTCTTGAAAAACCAAAAAAAAAAAAAAAAAAAAAAAAGAGTCCATGAATTTGAGAGGGGACATGGGGCCGTGGGAGAGT